CACAAATATAAATTTACTGCTTAGATGGCACTTCCTGATAACAGGCCATTCTTTTTTTTTTTTAGAGGTTTGTGTGTGTGTGTGTGTGTGTGTGTTATTTGGGTGAAAATTTACACAGCAAATTCACTTCCCATACAGGAGTTCACACACACTTTGTCTCATGACATTGACCACAATTTACCACAATGCAACAGCTCCCCTCCCACTTACTCTCCATAGTTACCTCCTCCCAGTGTCCATCCCTCCACGCACTCCTGCCCCCTGAGCTGTCTCCCTGTGCATAAGCAGCCCTTCTCTCTCCCATGATTGTTCTCTCCAAGGAGTGTATCTACCTCAGGTAAATGTTCAACTCATATGCCTGTCTATTGTTTGGCTGGAAGCCACAGGCATGGGTTCAATTCCAGACCTGAAGGGCAGCTAGGGGCCATAGTCTCAATGGTTCCACCAGGCTCTACTGAACCAGCAAACCTGGTCCCCCTTTTTTTTTTCTCCAAATGATTTTGAGTTTTGTTCCACATTGTTCTCCCTCTCTATCCAGGATTTCCTACATGGATCCCCCTCCGAGTGGTTGACAGTGGTAGATGGGCACCATCTAGTTCTTCTGGTCACATAGTTGTATAGGCTACAGATCGGATGGTGTACCAGTCGCTAGGACTAATTGTTTCCATGAATTTTTGGTTTTCTTCATTCTTCTTTGCTCTGGATGAGGAGAGACCCATTGTTGCATCTAGATGGCACCTTGCAAGCTTTTAAGATCCCAGTCGCTACTCGGTAACAGGTCATTCTTGAGATATTTTCTAGCCTACTACCTGTGGTCAGCCTTAATTAGTTTTGGAAAGTGTACATCCCTGTCCTCCTTTACTGCCTGATGAACTAAGATGGCTGATACAAGATAAGACCAAGACTCAAACCAAGAGTAAATACACCTGCACGGAAGAAGTCGCGGCATCCATGCTGGAACACACGGACTCCATCTTAGAAAGAGACTGCTCATGTACCTAGCCTGAAGGAAGTTGAGGTGTATCTTAGGAATCCACCACAGTCTTGTTCAGCTTCCTGACTTTTGCAAAAGGGTCAGGATTTCATGAATATCTGCCTGCATAAGGTCTTTGGAAATCATGTACCCCACGGCCTTAAAAACTGCTATAAAAACTCCTAGCCTGTAAGGCTCGGGGAAACACACACAACGTTGCCTCTAGCCCCAGTGTGTTTCCACCCTGCAAGGTTATTATCCTCTTGTTAAATTTCTCTCTGACCTAAAGCTGACTTTCTAGTCATTATTCCAGAACTCAGCCCATGACATACCCTGCTGTTTTCTTAATAAACCACTTGTCTTAGGCTGATTTATCTATAGAAACAAAACCAGTTCAAGAAAATGGCTCACGCAGCTGACAAGGGACAGGTTGTAGTCACTTCTTGGTCACAGCCAGCAACCCAGAGGGAGCAATCAGCTGAACCTGTGGGCTCGGGACCATAGTCGCAGGGGACCTCAAGCTCCATTGGCATAACATACTACACAAAACATTGTTCCACCTCCTACTTTGG